ACTGGTTGACGGTATTACTACAATGGTGTTTGAATCGGGCAGAGCCAACCAATGAGGAAACGGAACCACACGACTGGGTGGGTGGCACATGTCTTCTCATATGTCCGCGGCATTTTTCACCGGAAAGACAGAAGCACAGCTAAATAGTAAATTAAAAAGTGATGTAACTACCAGAGGCGTAGCGATGGGGGGGCAGGGGGGTACATATGTCCCCGGGCGCCGACCTTAGGGGGCGCCAAATGGGTTGTAAAAACAAATTAAAATGTCATTTTTGCTGCATTTTTGCATTATAAATAGTTTGGGGGGGGGGGGGGTGCAAATCGAAAGTTTGAGGGGGAGGGTGCAAATCGAAAGTTTGAGGGGGGGGGGGGGGTGAAAATTTTCTCCCGAGGGAGGCGCCAAATTGAAAGTTTGTCCCCGGGCGCCGGGAAGGGTCGCTACGCCTCTGGTAACTACCCAGGTTTATATTAGAGGCATAGAGACATATTCCGTGGACAAGATTCGCTTTAGCCGACTTGAACTTAAATAAATTTCTGCTTCGCGTTTTTAAATAGCAGAACTTACCCGAACAAAACGTATTTAGTAGTGGAGTCGATTGGTCTGACCAGCACCATAGAATGAATTACGCATTGCACTGTTCGAAAGACAGTCAAAACATTAAATGGAACAGTGACAACACCAAAATTTACTTACTGCTATTTTTTTTTCCCGCATATTATTTTTATCATCTAGAATCATTTCAACGTGCTCCGGCGATTTTCGAATGAAACACGGAACACGTTGACATTATTCTAGATATGTTGTGAAAAACGCAGGCATTTTGTAGAATGCGAAGAGATATTAGGAAAAGTATGATGTATCACGAAGATCGGTTTTATTTCAAACCTTGCCGCAGCAATATAAGAATCATTGCTTGTTGTTCAGTTGGTTTTCCTATTATTCAATTCTTATTAGTATTTTGCATGCTTTCTACAACATTTTGAAAGGAAGGGTGTAAAAACCTGCTTAATAGTCATAGGTGACAGCTTACGAGAAAAGCAGTCATGAAAAGTTAGCAGTTATAATAGAAAATTATTTAGAAGCATTAAGTTCAACTAGATCTATGTTCTATGAATTTTAGTTGAGCGACATTACGTTTAGGTATAAAGTGTAACATTAGTGAACGAACTAAAAGCTCCCCCGTCAGGATCTTTAAAATTTAATTCTAGTTTTCAAGCGACTTTGTAAAATGATTAAAATTGACTTTATTACTTTATTATTTTTATCAAAATACAAAAGAAATTTATAAAAACAGAGGCGTAGCGACCCTTCCCGGCGCCCGGGGACATACTTTCAATTTGGCGCCCCCCTCGGGAGCAAATTTTCGATTTGCACCCCCCCCTCGAACTTTTCATTTGCACCCCCCCCCCTCAAACTTTCGATTTGCACCCCCCCCTCGAACTTTTCATTTGCACCCCCCCCCCCCTCAAACTTTCGATTTGCACCCCCCCCCTCGAACTTTTCATTTGCACCCCCCCCCCCCCTCAAACTTTCAATTTGGCGCCCCCCTAAGGTCGGCGCCCGGGGACATATGTCCCCCCCCGCCCCCCCCTCGCTACGCCTCTGTATAAAAAAGAAACTGACATCTTTTTCAAACAACTAAGTGTCTGATAAGTAAACTGTAAGACAACAACAGAGCTCATCTGTTTCTGTCAACTAGTGTTAACAGTGTGGTCAGCACTAGATCTATGTAGTTTTAGTATAGTATACACCAGGACGCAAACCTGGGCTCCGAACTCGTAACTTTTCCTCTAGCAGTCGTTCACACTAGTTTTAGACCCTCCGGTCGTTCACACTACTTTCAGACCATGCATACCCACATTACTGAAATTATCGTTTAATTCTTCTTTATCTAACCATTTGTTTTTTAATTTTCAATAATTTAAATCCGAGTATTTCTAGCGTCAAATCATTTAAATATCTAGTGACAAGTTACTTGAAACGAAAGTAGACTTCATGGTGTAATTAAAAAGTCAAACCGTAGTCTAAACATGCTGTGAAGTGAACGATGCACCTGAAAGTGAAATCTAACACGCCAGGTGCAGACTTCGTAAGTGAACCCTGGTGAGAGGAGTGAGCCAAAGTAAACAGACGGAATTTGTTAAAGTTATAGGCAACGAGATCTAAATCTATTATTATTTATAGATGACTGACTAGATATAGATATCTAAATAAATTATAAATAATCATTTATAATGTAGGGCGAGATAACAAAAATTGAAAAAATAAAATAAATATCTAGAAAAGTTTATTCAAATTATAATACGCCTTTTTAACGCACTGATAATTTTACAAAAATTAAACTAATTTAAGAGTCTAGTAGTTTGCTTTCTTTATTAAAAGCATTGGTCGCCCAAATGTGTTGGAGACTTTATGAGTGGAAAAAGCTCTTATGTCAATATTTGGAGTCAACCTTTTGTATTTCTAATCTAGCAGAGGAAAGTTTAACTAAATCCCTACATTAGAAATGTGACATGAGTTACAAGATGTATGTGATATTAACCCACAAACAAGCAAAAAAAAACAGAAATTGTGAACTTAGTAAAAGCTTGTAAAAATGGGAACGATTAGTTAGATCTATTATTATTTAGACCTAATTAAATTTTAAAATATGCAAGGTGTACAATACAATCTAGTTTAAAGATTTAATTCTTGATCTGCTCTCTCTAGACTAGATTTGTTACGTTATACATGTGCATGCTGGTATGCTATAGCATATGTAATGTAGGAGGCCTATGTAGGCCTGGCTATAGTTTAGTTAGTTGTGGTTGGTGGAATGAGTATTCACATTGCTTTAGTTATGGGTGATAATTATAAACTCTACTAGATCTCTACTAGATCTAGTAGTATAATCTAGTAAAACCTATTAGAGTGTAAGTATACTATGCCTATACTATAGTTTGTGGCATGACTAGGTGGGTGATACCCAGCATGGTAACCAGGGTAACCCCCTCCTCTCTCTGCCAACAACTATTTATAGAATAGGCCACTAAAACTACAAATAACTTGGTGTTATCACCAACCCCCCCTTGTGTCAAACAATGCTAACTGATGTATATAGGCCAATTAATATAATTTTAGAAAGTAATGAAGCTGGTAAGAAAACAATTCTAAGTTTTCACATTTAAATTAGCTCTACATTTAATTTTGGTGTCACCCTCTGGATGGCATCACCCATTCCAGGCTACACCCCTTCCCCTCACCCCTTCCCCTCACCCCATTCCCCTCCTCCTTGTGAGGCTACTGAGTGTATTACAAATGGTTAAATATTTTTCTTAATTGTGGTATTTATGTACTTTTAATATTACTTATGTCATATTGCACATTTGTATGCTTCTACTGTGGCTTTAACTTTTGTTACAAATTATTGTTATTTGTATTGTATTCATAAAAAAAAATGAAATCAAATAGCCAACAACATTTGTTATACAATTTTGAGCTCACAAATTACATGTTACTTCACCAGGTGATCAAACAACCCAAACAGTTTTTTTAATAATGTTTTGAAATGTGGTTTTAATTATGAGTTATGGTGTCTGCTTAAATATTTTCATGAGTTAAGGTATCTGCTTCAAAATTTTCAGGCAAAAAGAAACACGCTGGTATGTGCACATTCAGCTAAAACATTGCACTTGATAACCCCACTTGTCTAAAGTGGAAAGAGCTGTTCACATGAAATTAGGCCACCATTTACTTTCAATAAACAATACTACCAGGGATAAAGAAGAAATTAATGAATCAACTCTAAGAAATAAAATATATGTGAACTGCTCTTATTAATATTTTTTATTTGTAAAATTATTAACCGCAGTAAAAATTTGATTAATTTTTGTTTTTTGTAATGTTTTTTAATCAATAATAAAATTTAATCATAGTTATTAATTCAGATAAAATTCAAATTAATATAATGTTTCGTAATGTTTTGTAAAAATAATACAGCTAAAATGATTTACTTCGCATCTTGTTAAAACATAATTATTTTAACCAATTTCTTTTGAGCATCGATTGTTTACCAAAACTTTTAATACAAATGTTTGCTTCTAAACTTCCCTCATATTTCAGTAATTTTAATCTTCTCAGCAAGATTATGAAGGGTTTTGTCCTTCTATGAACCAGAAATGACTGTTAGAGTGGAGCGTCTATTTGGATGCTCCTAAACCCTAAACCACACATTACAAGAAAACTTTTTAACTTACGTATTCTCATTAAAATTTGATTTTTTGAATGGTTTTAAAACTAATTGAATGCAATAAGTTTTTTGTCTTTTAGTATGTTTATAATGCTTATCCAAGCTTATTTACCATTACCTATATTTAGGAGTTTCTCTTTTGAAAGGAACTCATCAGAAATGTGAATGTAGAACACTTTATTTTTAAGCAATTATTACCTAATATTTTATCCTCTAAAACAGCCTTGCTACAGTTAATATATCCTAAAAGGCAGAAATATAATATTGTCTTGTACTTATCACATTATACACATGTTTTAGGCTCTTGGTGGAACTCAAATATAATTACAAAAATTACAATTGCATTGACTTTCCATTAAAAGTAGATCACATTGTGCATGATTAAGCTTTGCTAGCATGTGTTTATTCCATGTATGTAACCATGCATATCCCAACCTTCCTCCAACTTAACCTTATACAATACTTCATTACTTTAAAAAAAAACCTGGACATTTCAGTAAACAAAAATTGTTTCTCAACCACTGCCTTCACTCGTTATACATTATGAGTTTTAATTTTTTTGCTTTATTCAACTCAGAAATTATTTTAAAACATTAAATATTTTTAAAATTTGAACAAAACTCATGTACATTACATTTGACTTATTAATTAAAGTTTATATCATAGTTAAAAAATACTAGCTGGAATATTTACAGAGATAGCAGAGTTTGTCTTTACATCATGTGTTTGATACAGTTGGAACTGGATGTGAAAGGTTTCCTCTTGTTTTTAGAAGCCATTGTGCCAGCAGTACCCACACTGAAAACAGAGGATGGAGATGACGCTGGGATACCAATACTTGGGGAAATTAAATCTATTAAAATCGCAATCACAGAGTCTCAGGAATTTAAAGTGAGTGCTTGTTTTTTTTTATAGGTTGGATACAGTCAAACATTAATTATTGTCATTTGTCTCAACAATAACACCAGGCTAAAAAAATGGACGTGGTGGTCGCAAAAGTTTACTTAGTGGTCACCACATCTCACTAAGTGGTCACCACATCTCACTAAGTGGTCACCACATCTCACTAAGTGGTCACCACATCATTTACTTAGTAGTCACCACATCTTACTAAGTGGTCACCACATCTCACTAAGTGGTCACCACATCTCACTAAGTGGTCACCACATCTCACTAAGTGGTCACCACATCTCACTAAGTGGTCACCACATCTCACCAAGTGGTCACCACATCTCACTAAGTGGTCACCACATCATTTACTTAGTAGTCACCACATCTCACTAAGTGGTCACCACATCTCACTAAGTGGTCACCACATCTCACTAAGTGGTCACCACATCATTTACTTAGTAGTCACCACATCATTTACTTAGTAGTCACCACATCATTTTCTTAGTAGTCACCACATCTCACTAAGTGGTCACCACACCTCACTAAGTGGTCACCATGTCTCACTACATGGTCACCACATTTAAGTAGTCACCACATCTCACTTAGGGGTCACAACATCTCACTAAGTGGTCACTACATCTAAGTGGTCACCACATGTCACTTAGTGGTCACCACATCTCACTAAAGGGTCACCACATTTATTTAAGTAGTCCTGTGTCTCACCAAGTGCTCACCACACATTTTACCTACAGCTTACAATGCTAGCCACCATAATGTTTCCCAGTGTGTTCTGTCACTGTGTCTCACCAAGTGCTCACCACACATTTTACCAACAGCTGACAATGCTAGTCACCATAATGTTTCCCAGTGTGTTCTGTCACTGTGTCTCACCAAGTGCTCACCACACATTTTACCAACAGCTGACAATGCTAGTCACCATAATGTTTCCCAGTGTGTTCTGCACACCTGACCTACTCCTCGTGGTCCCCACCTGTCTTTGTACTTGTTCCAACAGAAAACAGTGGACAAGCTCCTGAAACAAGCCACGCCCTCATCTATTATAGGCACCTCATCCTGGAAAGAGCAGTTTGTGGCTGCTGTTACAGTGAGTTCAGGTGAGATGTTGTTTGCCTACCATTGCATCTTATGGTGCCTGCTACAGTAACTCTCTAGTTATGAGGCTTACTAAATAACTCTGAAAGTAAAAACTAACATTAGAAAATAGTTTTAAATAATTTGAAGGATATATTACAAAAGAACATCTATCAAAATATTTTGTTTAATAATATGTTTGTATTTTTAAAAAATGTATTGTATAAATATCCAAACCTGTAGCAAGTATTGAATGCTGACTCTAGTACAATATGTTCCCTCTGAATAGCTTGATCCAGTTTTACTTTATATATTTATGTGTGTGTGTGTCTACGTGCACGCCAGTGAGTGCTGTGTGTATCAATTGATTTTTTTCCCTCCTGTTTACTTTTAAATAGAAAATAATCAAAGAGCTACTTGGAATAGTTCACAATTGACTCTATAGATTTATAAGCAACATTTCAAGCTTCCCTGACTTTTAGTTATCTTTTAGGTTGACATTTTTTAGTTGTTTTTTTTTTTTACTTTTATACATTTTATCTTTATTTTCACAACCAATGGAATGACTTGATACGTTGCAGAAGGTAATTTTTTACATTCTCATTAAGCACATCCCAAGTAGAAGGGGCTTAGTTGGTTTTTTTATGAAGAGTTCCACTCTTTGTTTATGTAGTTCTCTTTATTGTGTGTAGAGATTCACTATTTACTGCTTATCTGTGACTAGTGTTTAATACAACACAGATGCCATTTTGGCCCTTCTTCCAAACACCAAGCACTGCATTTAATTTCTAAATAATTCAATTTAAATGACCATTTAGAAAACAATGTTAAAATTTAAATATGAAATGTTTTGAAAACGTATATTAGAAAGAGACTGTGCTATGCATTATAAATATCTAATCCAAATTTTAAAACAATTTGTTTTGCTTTAATATAAAAAGAGAAAGTGACTTGTATAGCACAGTACTTCCTACTGTCATGCCTTTTGCCTTCACTCTTTTTTTATCTATCACTTCCTACTGTCAAGATATCCCAGCCTCTCCATCTGACATCCCATCTCACAACCTAGTCTCTCAATCTAACATAGCACTCTCCCCACCCCATACACCACTCTACCCACCTCTCAGCCCAGTCTCCTCACCTCACACCTCAGTTTCCCCACCTCACACCCTAGTCTCTCGATCTCACATACCACTCCCCACACCCCACCCCACACCCCACTCTCCCCACTTCACACCCCAGTCTTCCCACCTCACACCCCAGTCTCCCCACCTCACACCCAGTCTCCCCACCCTACACACCACTCTCCCCACCTCACACCCCAGTCTTCCCACTTCATAGCCAAGACTCCCAATGGTAAATATTGATGAACTATTGCTGTAGTATTTGTCTAGATCTGCTTGTAGTGGCCTGTAGGACAAGTAGCATCAACACTATCTGGTTAAGGCCATTAGAATGTATAGCCACACAAATGTTTTGTTTTTAACACTATCTGGTTAAGGCCAGAAGAATTTATTGCTGCACAGAGAAAATGTTTTGTTTTTAGCTGACATCACATACATTTTGACACACTTATATGATATATGTGTTAAGTTTCTTGTTTTTAGGTTGATCAAAGCAGCATTACTCTGTTAAAGTAAAACAAATATACAGAGTTCCATCCCTTGCCACTATATCCCAATACATTGTAATAACTAAAAACCTTTAGTAATATCATAATATATTTTTGTGTCATTTGTATCACCTGTTTTAATTGTGTCTGACTAGTTAATTCCTAAACTAATCATATTATCAACTCTGTAAGAATTACAATAGTATGTTTATTTATTTTAAGAAAAATAATTAAGAATCATTTCTAAAAGTATGTATCATTTTATTCATGCTTACTGAGTGGAAAAAAAGATAACAATATTTTAGAATCATTTTTTAGTGATATTTAAAAAAAAGTAATTCTCTCATTGCATTTAGCAAAATCAGGTTGATTATTTTTAACACACGAATAAAGGTCTTTTACCTGCCAGTATGTATTAGACCTGTGCAACAGAAGGTGTAGATTTGGTAGTGGCTAATCATCCTTGTCAAAACTTATTTTCTCTTATAATTCAGTGTATAATTCAGGTGATGTTACTCTTGTTTCTCTCACCTTTTAAGTGATAATTCAGGTGATGTTACTCTTGTTTCTCTCACCTTTTAAGTGATAATTCAGGTGATGTTACTCTTGTTTCTCTCACCTTTTAAGTGATAATTCAGGTGATGTTACTCTTGTTTCTCTCACCTTTTAAGTGATAATTCAGATGATGTTACTCTTGTTTCTCTTACCTTTTAAGTGATAATTCAGGTGATGTTACTCTTGCTTCTCTCATCATACAGGTGATGATTCAGGTGATAATTCAGGTGATGTTACTCTTGTTCTCTCATCATACAGGTGATGATATTCTTGCTTCTCTCATCATACAGGTGATGATTCAGGTGATAATTCAGGTGATGTTACTCTTGTTCTCTCATCATTTGGGTGATGTTACTCTTGCTTCTGTCATCATACAGGTGATGATGCAGGTGATGATGGCGTGGAGAAGCTCCCATCATGCATGGACTACATGATGCACTTTTTGACCCTCTTCTGGAAACTGATGTTTGCCTTTGTGCCTCCAACAGGTTGGTTTAGCATTGTATGGAACTTGTTAAATCTTAATGCAACTTGTTAGATCTTAATGGAACTTGTTAGATCTAAATGGAACTTGTTAAATCTTAATGGAACTTGTTAGATCTTAATGCAACATGTTAAATCTTAATGCAAAATGCTAAATCTTAATGCAACTTGCTAAATCTTAATGCAACTTGTTAAATCTTAATGCAACAAGTTAAATCTTAATGCAACTTACAAGTCATTATAATCTTATATATTACAGCATTTACTTCTAGACACAATGAGTAACTTTTCTATTTTTTCCTCAGACTATTTTGGAGGCTGGGCTTGTTTTATTGTCTCCATTATAGTGATTGGAGTAATCACAGCCGTTATTGGAGACATAGCTGCTGGCTTTGGCTGTACAGTTGGTCTGAAAGATTCTGTCACAGCCATCTCCTTTGTGGCTTTAGGCACCAGTGTGCCAGGTGAGTGGGTTCAAAGTTCACTTTGTCTTGAGAGTCCAAACTTGTCTAAGAGTGGGTTCAAAGTTTACTCTTTCTTAGGAGTCCAAACTTGTCTTAGAGTGGTGCAGTTTGAACATTTAATGTCGTGAAGTGCTGTCTTAGTTTTAGATCTCAATTCTATCTTATAAAGTGTTACATTTATTTGGGTACATAATATGATTACAGATAGTTTCCTGGAATTTAATTTATAATGTAATCATATTTAAATTACGTAGCTCATGAGATAGCCCAGCCATAATTGATATCAGGGTAGTAAAAAGAAATCTTTTCAAAGAAGTTGTAAACACACATATATACTTAAAATATATATTTAAAATAATTCTTAAAGCATACAACCATACATAATCCTTTCTAGACCTAAATTCGTACTAATTTATAATTTATGAGCTGTTTGATTGTATTTTGTTAGAACTAAAAGGACATTTTGTTTTCTTCAGATACCTTTGTTAGAACTAAAAGGACATTTTGTTTTCTTCAGATACCTTTGTTAGAACTAAAAGGACATTTTGTTTTCTTCAGATACCTTTGTTAGAACTAAAAGGACATTTTGTTTTCTTCAGATACCTTTGTTAGAACTAAAAGGACATTTTGTTTTCTTCAGATACCTTTGTTAGAACTAAAAGGACATTTTGTTTTCTTCAGATACCTTTGCAAGTAAAGTGGCTGCCGTGAATGACCGTTATGCTGATTCTTCCATCGGCAACGTCACAGGAAGTAACGCAGTCAATGTGTTTTTGGGGATTGGTATTGCTTGGACAATAGCAGCAGTCTACCATGCCATCCATGGAAGGAAGTTTGAAGTTCCACCAGGAAACCTTGCCATGTCTGTTACTGTTTTCTGCATTCTGGCCCTACTGACTATTGTAATTATGATGGCGAGGCGCCATAAGTTTATAGGTGGGGAGCTGGGTGGACCCAGGTGCATACAAATTTTAACAACTGTTACTTTATCTGCTTTTTGGATACTATATCTTCTTATTTCATCTTTAGTAATATACTGTTATATTCCAGGTTTTTAACTATGTATTTATACATTGAAAATACCCAGCCATTTTCTACAATGTTTACCGTGTGTGTATTAACCCCACAATTAATGAACATGAATAAAGATGAAATGATTGTGATACTCTGGTATGACTGTCTTAGTTTTTATTTAGTGTTGTATGTTTTTTTGTTGAATTCTTATGCAATGCTCTATTTGTGCCAGTTAGGCTGTTGAGTTGGTGTCAATTTGATTTGTTAACATTCATCATTTTTATAAATATAAATCTGATGCTGCAGTACAAAATTAACTTAATATATTCATGTTATGTGTGTTTTAAAAATGAGTCAACTTTTATATATATATATATAAATATATATATATATATATATATATATATATATATATATATATATATATATATATATATATATATATATATATATATGTGTGTGTGTGTGTGTGTGTGTGTATATATATATACACATTTATCATTTTATTATTTCTAAAATGGAAAGAAAGTATTTGTGGTTTTATTATTTTTAACAGCTTTAGATTTAGGAATTTCTTTTTATTTTCAAGATATTTTAGTTACATAAACTTTGTCACCTCACATGTTTAAGTAACTTTCTGATTTCACAAAGTGGGGGGTGAGCAGTTCACATTTTAATGTTTAACTTGAACTTCTTGTTTGGTTAGCTTTCTCTCATGTTAGCAGATGGAAACATATTGAAGTTCTATTTTGAAAAAAATAATGTTCCTGTCCTATAACCCAGCTATTTAATTTTTTCAACCATTGAGATCAAGTTTAGAAAGTCTAATGTTTTTATAACTAAGCTTGTGTAAACATTAGTAGTTGTTGGTCATTGTCATATCGAGACTGGTAGAGATTAATAAGGACGATGTAAACCTAGTTCTAGTGTATGTGCACTTGTTTGATTTGAATAATAGAATATGTGTAGTGTGAGTGTGATGCAAAAAAAATAGCAATGACATAGACACAAGACTAAATAAACAATTGGGGGTTTGACATTGTAGAAAAAGGACGTGTTTATATATAGTGTAGTATTAGTATATTAATTAAAATTTTTTTTATTTGTGTTGAACTTGTTGAGGTGTTTCATTAGTGTCATCAGAATTAAGATAGTGTTCCCGTCCTCATCACTTAACTGTGGTTGGAGCAACAGAAATAAAATTCATTCATTGTCATATTACTCATTCATCCCCCTCATTCATCCCCCCACCTCAGTCATTGCCTGGTGTAATTGCTTCTATTTTGCACTTATTCTATTTTTGTAACAGATTGAGAATTTAGTACCCAACAATTGCTTGAGCTATTTAAATTATAATCACTTACTGATAATTAAGGGAAGATGATGGGAGGTACCATATAAATTTTATTCTTTCTAGCTGAAGCTTTTAGTAAGGGAAGCGACCATGCTAGATTAATTCTTGCAACTAAAACATCAGTTAAGGGGAGTTATCATGCTAGCTTAAGTTAAATGCCCTAATTTTTGCAACTAAAACCTGTGTGTGTGCAATATTCATTTCAAAGTTGTGATAATGATTTAAATAATTTATTAAACTTTGTTTCAGTAACCATTTTAGCCCACAGCATTAATAGCTAACATTTTCGTATGGTTAGGTTATTTTTCTTTCTTCACCAAAAACCAAATAAACAATTGTTAGTACCCTAACAAAAGAAAATAATTCTTTCCTCATCCTTTAGAGTCATCTATTGCAAATGTGATGATAATACATACTCTTTCTTTTTGCACATTTTGTCCCCAAAGCTGGTAATATATGTGGCAATAGAAGGGGAAAGATAAAAATAATTGATGATTAAGTGGGTTATTGCCAGCATCATTTGTATGTGTGTGTGTGTTATGACTTGTCATTTCTGTTCAAGAAGTATGATAATTATAGTTATCTAAGAATATTATTTTCTAAACACCAGTTAGGATCTAGATTTTTCTATTATTGTAAAACTTTTTTTTTTTAAAATGAAGAAAAAAACTTTATTGATAAATTGTTTGATAACAAATTTAAAACAAAATATTGTAGAGCTAAAATAAAGTAATAAAAGCATTTTTATCTTTTTCAAACTCTAAAAAAACTCTGAAATAAAATGGGGTAGCAGTGTTTTCTTATAACTATCATTGCTGCAACTTGCCTTATCTATTTTTTTTATTCAAGTCTTCCATGTTGTTGTATAATTATTATCTAGGTCAAGGTAAATCTGTGCTTAAAGAGTGTGTTTAGAAAGTTTTTTTTTTTTGGTATCAAACCAGATCAAATAGCTATTTATTGTAATAGTTTCACATGATCCATCAGGTGTCAAATATTTTACATTTTTTACATATCATTTAATTTAAATAATTATTATTTAATTATTACATTAGAGTTCAAGATTTAAAATGCATAACATGATTTGCATACTGATGTATAGCAGATCATGTATAGATATAAAAGCTCAAGCATGTAGGATATCCTAGCTAGATACTTTAAGCTTATTGTGGCTGAAAACCTTTGAAGGTTGGTAGCCTTAATAGCCCTTTATGTTTCTACATGTGCAACTGCCAAGGTATTTCTTCCTAGAGCCTTTTTTTTAAACTCATGTTGTTTTATTTTTAAAAATTTACATAGCATTTAGAATGTCTTTTGAAAGTCAAAATTCTCTTTAAAACCTACTTAAAATAGGAAGGAGTCTCATTGCCAAATGCTAATGTAAGAGCAATGGTTATAAAGATATCTACAGTTTCTACTTATATATTTTATTTTTTAATTTACTTTTCAACTCCAGTAGTGTTAGCTTCACTAACAATTTCAATACTGTTTGTTTATATATTATATTTGTTCTTTTAAATTTTTTTTTACATTACAATTAATAATCAAGTACATAAGAGGTTTATATTGTAAATATTGTCTATTAAAAAATCTACTCATAAAACAGCACCAAATTATTTTTTCAAATGCTGTATGCTATCCCCCTAGTTGTATACAATTGATGAGGAACATAGACAAAGCTAAGTAGACTAGCCTGATATTTCACATAATTTCAAAGTGGCATAAACAACATCAGTCTTTACAGCTTCCTTTATGTGTTGTATTCAAGTTTTTATTTTAATTTAACTCTGTTAATTAGTTTAAATAAATGATGCATATTGAACTTATTCCAAAGATTTCATCAAAGTTGAACAAAAATTAAAATCATGAATTTTAATAACAAAGTAGTAAAACTTTATTTTCAGCCACGTTCTGTCTTATTTGCATTTCTTTAACTTCTTTTATTATTTTTCCAGTTGTTTTAATTTTAAAATAAATTATGAAATAATTAAATTTGGTGACCTATTAAGAATCTCAAATGGTAATATCTTGTTTTAAAAAGAAATCATTTTATTGTCATAGTGAATGAAAGTTTATTGAATCTATGATAAATGTTTTTATCACTCTTTATTTTATTATGTTTTACTCTAACCAATTGTGATTAACAAAAAAGTTTAAATTTTATTATTTAGGCATGTGCTTCACCATAATTTATAAAAAATTAAATTTATTTTTTATTTTTATTTATTTATTATTATTCTTTAATGTGAAAGTAAACCTGTCCAGTGATTTTTAAATTATGTAGTAGATCTACAGAACAAAATGTTATAAATTAAACTTTTCACTTTTACTGTTTATTTATTAGGTTTTTAAAGGATTATTTCGAAATAATCCAATCAATTTTTTTTTTTTTAAATAACTTCAACCCAAATTTTATTTATAAACCAAATATATGATATATGCCAAGCCCTCTTATCCAGTCTAGTGCACCAAATCCAACTTAAATATGTGTATGTGCCATTTTTGTCCATGTTAGCTGACCAGTAGTTCTCTGCTCTGTCCAGATTCAGCATCTTCACTGTTACTTAAGCACATTTGAATATCCTGCTAATTAGTCCAGCTTAGCTACAGTAGTTAGTCGTCTTTTATACTTGTGTATAGCTACATATACACTATACACACATAACACAACTTGGACCATCTCATTTTTTATTAATATAAATTTATAAATACTATGATCCTGTTAACACAAAACTTTTTATATATTCTAACATTTTAGACCTTCACACTTTGTTGTAAAACACACATCTCCGATCTACGATAAAAATTTTAAAAATATTATTACTCACATGTGTAGTTTTATTGTCAAATTACCTCAGTTTGTTAGTTAACTCTTATGCATAACTGTCAAGAAAATTGGCAATTGGGATTTTTTTTTTCAATTTAAAAAAACAAACAACTTATTAGCCATTTTATTTTTTTTTAAATATTATTTTAAGTAATTTTTAAATTATAAATTATATTAATAAATACTCCTAATGGAAATTCCTATTCTTGAAGTACTCTAGCGAGTAGAGAGTTTTCTTGTCATATCAATGTCCAAAGCTTTGTGCTTCAAACCCAAAAGGTTCACCGGTGTGTTGAGTTTTGACCGATGTTGATTCCAAACATGATTTTTTTTCTCACCCGCTCCAACAATCAACAAATTGTATAAGACAAGAATCAAGTTTAAAATAAATTAAAAGCTCCACATCTTTCAGTGTTTTTATTGAGTGAATGTGTTATTTTCATTGGTTGAGCCTATCAAACTACTACTACTGCGCCTGTGAAAAAATATTTACAATCCTAAAATTAAAATCCGTTACATTGGTTTCTTGATAAACTTAATTTTTTACATACTGCTTATTCGAACTGTACAGATTATAATTATTGATTTTAAATAAAGAAATATCGACTGGATCTAATATTTTAATTTGCAACAAAGTTGTATGAAAATAATATTCATATATAAATATGGTCAAAGGGAAGTAACTGTTGATATAATGCTGAAATTGAAAAACCACAATTATGTCCCATGAAAAACATTTTTTATGAAACAAGAACTTTGTTAAAGCTGGGTACACGGGTATCTTACCCCTGTATTACTTGGCAGATTATGAACAGTTGTCTTTCCTGGAACAAGCATCTGTAGTCTAAATGGGCCGTGTAGTTCAAGGCTACAGTGAGAAGCTACTCAGAGTAAGAACTATATGCATAGCCTGGTATAACTGGACCTTGGATTGTTAAAGGTGTGTGATTGTAAAATAAAGTTTTAAA